AAAAAAAAGACAAACTGTTGAGTCAATTCCAACTCAGAGTAACCCTATACAACCGCCCAATAGGGTTTCAAAGGCAGCAAGTCTTTATGGAAGCAGACTGCCACATCTTTCTCCTGTGGAGTGTCTGGTGGATTCAAACTGCCAACCTTTTGGTTAGCAGCCAATATCTTAACTACTGCATCTCCAGGGCCCTGCTCAAAATTACATTAGAAAGTGTAAAATAACATTATGATTATTGTTGGGTATAATCCTGAAAAGAAGTATTATAAATTAGTTGTTTAATGAGGTAAGCTTGAAGGAAGAGGCATAGAAGGTGATGACAGGGCTACTAGCTACCACTTTCCATTCGGTTATAGTTGACAAATGGCTTTCAGTTCTGATTTTTTTAACAACCTTAAAAAGGAAAGATGACTATATGGTGTGAGTGTGCAGTCATAAATCCATAGTGCAAGTTAAAACAAAAAAACCCAGGACGACAAAAGCAATTTTACTATTGCATGAATTATTGTAATGAGGTTGTCATGATGGTTGGTCCTCAAATTTTGCACAGGGTACCACCAGAGTGGGAAGAGGGGGCAAAAAATTCAGTATCCTTCAATCCTCATGTCTCGGAGTTATGTGCCGGTTTCTGCTGAATTTAGTTGGTAGTAACATGATTGTGTTTTAAAGTATTTTTATTACTATAACTCAAGTTTTCACTGAACACTAAAAAAAAAACCAAACCCATTGCCGTCGAGACGATTGGGACTCATAGCGACCCTACAGGACAGAGTAGAACTGCCCCATAGTTTCCAAGGAATGCCTGGTGGATTCAAACTGCCAACCTTTTGGTTAGCAGCCGTACCACTACGCCACCAGGTTTTCCCACTGAACAATAATTACTACATTTTTAAACTACTAAGGTAATTTTTGTCTCTTAAAACTACAGCAATGGAATTATTCCCAACAGTATATAGTTAAAATGTAATATAAAAAACAAAATGACTATCTGCAAAACAGTCCTTTGCTCAAACAATATTTGTTGAGTGCCTATAATATTCCAGGCTCTGTGCTTTCCTAGGAAAAGTGGCTTTTGGATTCTATTCAAGGTGAAATGGAGTGAGTGGGACACAGGAAAGGTTGAGAGTTTTCATTTCTGTGGAAGCCTATATGCTGATGTAAGGACATCTTTGTCCACTAGATGGCAGTAACTATTTTATAAAATGACCGCTAGGGTAGCTGGAACGTTTTTTTGTTAAGGTTCATGCTTTTTTTTTTTTTTGTCACAAACTGCATAATGTGAACCATAGCAAATACTGAGGAAGGAAGTTGGCCTCAAGTCTCCACGTTCACATTCCATGCAAAGCATTACTAGATGTGCAAGTGCCCTGCTGGGGTATATAGTTTGAGTAGAAGTCTCAAGGTACTTGGTAGGACTGTATAGCCAGAACTTTGGGACTAAACCCAACCAAACCCATTGCCATCAAGTCAACTTCGACTCATGATGATCCATGTGTTACAGAGTAGAACTACTCCGTAGAGTTTTCTTTTTTTGTGTTTGTTTTATAGTTTTATTTTGTTGTTGGTATTGTTAATATACACAGCAAAACA